ACAGTGGCTAAGTCATCTCTGTCCAACAGGGGCCGCAGGTGATGAAGCAACCATAACTAGAAAAAGGCACTCCTAACCACTGAGATCACTTGAGTCACCAGTGACAGTGTTGCTTCCAGGAGCATCCACAAGCTGCAGACCTGCTCCTTCCAGGGCAGCGCAATCTTGTCCAGGGCAGGCCATTTCCTCACCTCCTGCTCACATAAGACATTCATTTCAGGATTCAGATTCAGTTTATTGGGCCACATCCAATGCATCACAGCCCTTGAGCACTGGTTCTAACACCTCAACTGCATCTCCTGATTCAGACGGAATAGAGAAACAGAGCTGAGTGTCATCTGCCTATTGGTGGCACTTCATTCCAAATCTCCCTATGACAGCTGCCAGAGGCTTCACATAGATGTTAAATAGCATGGGGGACAAGATAGAACCTTGTGGGACACCACTTTCTGACTGCTTGCTTGAAATGGCCCTTGAAGTAGGAGAGGAACTACTGGAGCACACTTCCCCCCCACCTCCTTGAGATGCTCCAGAAGGATTCTGTGGTCAACAATATCAAAAGCTGCTGGAAAAATCCAGGAGGATGATCAGGACCGCACTCCTTGCCATCTCTCTCCCAATAAATGGTGTCAACTAGGGCAACCAAGGCAGTTTCAGTGCCATGACCAGGCCTGATGCCAGACTGAAATGCATCCAAATAACCACCTTGCCCCAAAAGGGGATGTTTGCCAGTGGGCGATAGTTGTTTAACACTTCTGGGTCCAAGGTGGGAGTGCACCACTGTCTCCTTCAAGGCAGATGGTATCTCCCCCTTCTCCAGGGAAGTCCTAATCACTGAACCCACCCAGTCAACCCCCTGTGACTAGTTCTAAGAAGCCAAGATGGGCAAAGGTCAAGGAGGTAGGCGGTTTGCCAAACTTTTTCAAGCAACTTGGTCAAATCTAGTCTAGATAACTCCACTGGATTTCTCAACAGCAGGCCTCTGAGGAAAACCATATGTTTGTATCTGATGTGTGGTAAAATCCTTCTTATTACTCGGCAGGGTGGCACAGACAACCTACCCAAAGCCCCCCTTATTCACCCCAAGGAAGTTTGGTCTGCATGGGCTCAAACAGCTGATTTATGAAGTGGTGAACTCTTGTTAATGATTGTCTATAGTGTCTACAGTTGTAGTGAATTGGATGGGGGTGGTGATATACCGATGGAATCTGAATCCTAAACATTATTCTTAGTTAATGATTCTGCTTACAGTGCACTGTTTTTAAGAAACTGTCAAGTTCCGTTTAGTTTTGATTTTATTTGGAACAAATATTGCTTCTCTTTTAATGTATCCCAATTTGTACCATGCCTTCCTTATTAAAGGAACACATGTCAACTTCTCTGGTGATTATTTCAAGGGATCTTGTTGAATGTGCATTAGCTGAACAGGGCCCTTACATTATTGAATCGACAAGTCCTAAATATTTATTACAAGTCCCAAGGTATTCCTAGGAAGCTTCCTTATACCAAGGCAAACCATTTGTCCATCTAGCTCCATATTGTGTACACCAGTAGTAGCCAACCTGATGCTATGGACTACAGCTCATATCACAACCTGATGCTATGGACTACAGTCCACATGCTATGGACTACAGCTCACATCACCCCCATCCAGCATGGACAATAGCCATGGATGATGGGTGTTGTAGTCCACAACATTTGGAGGGCACCATGTTGGCTATCACAGTCCACACTAACTGGATGCAGTCCCCCAGTGTTTCAGAGATGAATTTTCCCCAACTCTAGTTGGAGCTGCTGGGGACTGAAGCTGCAACCTTCTGAGCTACATCCCTGAAGTCCAGAGCATAGCACATTTGCTGCTTTATCTAGGTGAAACTGAAGAAAGAGCCACTTTTTTAGTATGTGTGGGATCATAGTGCTGACATCACAAGCACCTGCTACTTTTAGTAGTTAAATAAGTTACTGGAATGTTAGCACCTTTTCCCTCTTCACTGAATGTTCCTTTGTTTCCTGGGTGTTCCTATCTGCTGTGATGAGAGAGAGTTCCTAGTAGCACTTAGTTTTTGTTTTTCCAGTGGCCACTGGTTACAGGTCAGGGGTGATGGGAAAGGCTTGATGAGCAGCATCAGGCCCACAGACTGGTGATTCACCACCACCACTTTGAGTAGGCTGGAGAGCTGAACAGACTGCCCCTAGCAAATTTCCCTCTGCTGCCCACAGTAAGGAGGCCTGTTGCTGCCTTACAGTTTCCAGAGATGGACAGGTTCAGGTATCTGTCAAGTCTGCTTTGATCACCACCACAAACAACTGGATTAAGGTGGTTTGTACTTTGCCTTTGGTCTTTGCTATCAGTCCATCTGACTTGTTTCCGTCAGCTACAGCTCTTGGCCACCCTCATTGGGAGATAGGCGGTAAGGTGAGGGATCTCACCTGGACAGAAATACTTTCTCTGTTCCTGAAGAACACAGCACCATCCAGTACACAAAGCATTCTCTGTCTGCTTTGCCAGGTCCCCATCCTTCCAGTATCAAACTCTGGACGTCTGATAATTTTCAAACAGAAACTCACACCTGGTCTTGGTGAGAATGCCTAAGCACACCCTAAACACTTGATCCCTGCTGTTTGGGGTGGTAGAGCTGCTGCAGCAGAAAAGTGGCAGGTCAAGCAAAGGGTTAATACCCCCTCTCCCTTGCTATTTCTCTGCTAGAAATCATCCATCAGAGAAACAGACTGTCCAGACTTCTTACAAGTTTTTTGAGCACTGCTGGATAATCAGCAGCCGTCCTGCAGATGCCCAGCTGTGGGTTAAGCCAGAGACGGCCTGCCACTTCATTCTACCCTCTTTCTTCCTTAACCTTGCAGGGCTCTGCACCCAGTTACAAATACTCTCCACTGGCCTCTTTCACTGCTGTGCTGGAATCAACTCTTCACGGAATGTGCAGCTCATGCCCACAGAAAAGTCTATTTAAATTAAATCACGTTGCATGAAAGAGAGAAAAAGAAAGACGAAAATGATCAAAGCTGTGTTTTGAAATATAGCCAGAGATAAGAGCGAGCTAATAAACTGAGGGCCACAAGATTGATCTCCCTGCAGAGTCCTTCATCCCTTTTGCCAGGATATTAGACGCAAAAGCAAAGCAGACGATGGCTTTGCCTTTGCCGCAGGGGCTAAGCTGGGCATTCAGTTATCTCCTCTGTCCTCTCCCAAGCCGAGGTTCACAATCCCAAGGACCGACTACAAGCCCTGGGCACCTTGCGGGTGCATGGCATCTTTTTATTAGTCCTGTTAAGGAGAGCAGAATAAGCGGGAATAAGAAAGAGCCACTGAGCTAATAAAAAGTAGTGATACTGAAGTGGCCTTTTGATCTGTCCGTAGCGCTTTCCCTGCTTCACAGCATTCCTTAGGCCAGGGAGCCTTTGGACTAAAAAATAAAATGGCTAGATAGGCAAAAGCAAAGGCTACAGCGAGGGAGTCTAGCCATTCTCTCCAGGAAGAATTCCAGATGCCTTCCTGGCTCATAGTCACACTTGGGCTGATGGACTTTTCTCCTTCAGCTAAAGATCATGGATTTCCTGTTCTCACCTCCAGCTTTTGCTGCCTTGTCCTGTGTAGATGTGACAAAGTCCATTGATTCAGATTGACTTAAGGGTGCCTAACAACATCAGGCTATTGGTTGGCTGGAGTCTACTGGTGGGCATCTGCTTGGGCTCAATGACATGGTTATTTCTGAGTCCTATTAAAACGATCCAGCCTCTAGACTCCCTCTGGAAGGGTGAGAATTTCAGCATTTAAGAGGTCCAGGAATGATTTACAGTAACAGGTGCCCACAGTAGTAGCAGGGGAACTGTGGCAGATGAACTGTCAGGCCCAGGTACCAGATGGTAAAGAAACAAAGCCCCAAATTTGCTACTTAAGCCAATCTCATGCAATGTTCGCATTTCACACACAATCTGAACTTGTGATCAGGAGGAAGAGGATGGTCAGCAGGAGAAACAGTGGAGGAACAGGGTACGAAGCAGGGTGGCTTCAACCTATCTCTGGTATTTAAGGGTGCAAGTGGACATTGCCTTTGGCAATCCCTTCTTCCCTTGACTTCTTGGTCAGAGGTTTGCATGCTATTGACAGTCACGCTCTTGCAGCTCTGGAGAGGCTTCATTTCTAAATCACCAGTCAGACTTGGGCTGCAATCCTAAACATAATTACTTGAAACTGGATGCAAATTGAAATTAATGAGACTTGCTTCCAAATAAACCTGGTTAGGATAATTCTGTACACGTACTCTCCAGGCCCAGGACTCATCAACGCTGCCTGCCAAGGATTGAGGTATAAGCTCTAAAGATCAGGGACAGTGTCCATGGCTTGGAACACTAATGGGCTAAATTGACATCTTCCTTTAATATTTCTGCCTGACATTTGCTAGCACAAAGTCTTGCATTTTTTTTTTTTTGCAGCCGATTTAACCATATAATCCGGTGCTGGGGATAAGAACTCATGCAGCAGATCTGGATCTTCAGGGAAGGGATGGAGGGATGAGGATTGGCAGAAACCAGCCCCTCACTGAAGGAACAGGATAAGGGAGATCCTGGAATCTCCAATTAAGAGATTTCAAGGGTTCATTCAGTTGCATTTACTGCTTATTCACACACATCCAGTTCGCACCACCATCACAAGAACAAAGTTTAGGGCACTCTTTGGGCAGATGCATACTGGGCTGAGATGGTAAATGCTTAGAGGAGAAGAAGAAGAGGAGGAGGAGGAGGAGTTTGGATTTGATATCCCGCTTTATCACTACCCGAAGGAGTCTCAAAGCGGCTAACATTCTCCTTTCCCTTCCTTCCCCACAACAAACACTCTGTGAGGTGAGTGGGGCTGAGAGACTTCAAAGAAGTGTGACTGGCCCAAGGTCACCCAGCAGCTGCATGTGGAGGAGCGGAGACGCAAACCCGGTTCCCCAGATTACGAGTCTACCGCTCTTAACCACTACACCACACTGGCTCCCTGGAGATCCCTTGGAACATAGGAAGCTGCTTTGTACTGAGCCATAATATTGGGCCACCCAGTTCAGCAGCTCGTCAGGGCTGCAGGTAGGAGTCTTTTCCAGCACTACCTGGAGATATCAGGGATTGAACCTGGGACCTACAATATGCAAAGCAAAATGTCGTTCGTACCACTGCACTCAGTGTTTGCTTTGAAGTGGCTAGAGTTTGTAGAACACAGAGTTGCATGTTGTGCACTGGAACAGCAAAACATCCTCCAGCTATATGTATTGAACATTGTACCTATTCAATAAGCACAGTATCTGTTCTCTCATTATGAGTTTGGTTTACTGTTTTGCTGGCTGACATTTTTAGATAATCAGTAAAACTCTCTCTGTTCCATCATGCCTTCTGATCTTCTGAGGTCTGCTGAATTTACCTAGTGATTGCACTTTTTAGTTTTTAGACTTGTTTCATAATTGGTTGCATCATATTGTAATCAGTGTTTCTTATTGTGAGCTACTTGGCTGTTGTAAGCTGCTTCAAGGTCCTTTGCATAGAAAAGTGGCCTATAAATATAAACAAACCTAATATAAATAACACTGAGAGAACTGTGGGCTACTGCACTGGTCCAGTTGGCAAGTTGCAGGCCATTATATTCAGGAACAGAACCTAATGACAATTTTGTCCTCGAGTACTGAATTTTGCATTTCTGAATACTTTAGTGGTTTGGGAATGAGCTGTTGCATGACAATAAAATGGTGACAATACAAAACATCCAAATGTGAGAATGTGCTTACTGAGTTGTAAGCAGGTGAGGATTTCTAAGCACAAATTCTAAAAAATACTTTTGGCAAAACATTGCACCAGATTGCTCATTGACCTGATGACAGCATAGTTAGCTCTGCTTGTGAATTTGCTTGTTTTCTCCTATCAAACTACGGAAAGAAAAGTATAGCCCAACACTGAATTCGGGGGGTGGAATTGCAATGGATTCTCTTCTGCCTGATGTGTATCTATCATTCTGCCAAAACTCAACACAATCCAGAGCCTGAGGAAAACCCATCACCATAGAATAAATATGCCATTGAAGGTGTGGATTTGCATGGATGACCATATATCAATGAACCTGCAGCCTGAAACCTGTAGATCTCCTTAGCGACCAAGCTTGCTGGAGGGTTCCAATATTTTAAAGCAGTAAATGGGAAATTCCAATAGCTCTGGTTTCCCTTGTTACTACAAGGCTGTAATGCAAAAGACTGGACCTGAGTAATTCTTAAAAACCACATTATTATTATTTTTTAAATGTACGCTTTGCCTATGCAGATACCTGAACCAGTTCAGATTCTGCATCTGGCAACTTTACTCTTCACAGAGTTGAGGAAAAGGTTGCATTTCTAGCTCTTCATCCCAGGCAACAATCTGAAAAGTTGTAATTGTTTTGGAATAAAAGGGAAGTGAGAATCATTGGCATCAGTAGTAGTAGGCCTGACAAGCTCATGTCTGGCTAACTAGACCCTTGGTGATCTTCAGCAGACCCCCTTTACCACCATTCATGGTCTGCCCTGAAAATCAGCTCCTCTTTCTATAATTTGCAGCTGTCCATCACTAGCCAAGATTTTTGTTATTGCTGAGGAGTGGAGTCATGCTTGCGCTCATTGATTAATCAATAGCCTTAATTGAGTTGCAGCTCTTTAATGGATAGCCCACTGGCTCTTGTTTTTTAATCCCCTTGCACACATTGACCCAAGTCACTCACCTGTAGAAAACTGCTTATGCAGCAGAAGAGGCCATTGGGATCATGAAGGTCGGTCATGGGCTTCAGTCCAAGTTCATAAGCAGAAAGCAAGGCTTGAACAGATTTTCTTTTTCTGAGAGGAGGAATAAAGTCATTTTGGTTTAAAAGGAGGAAGGACAGTGTGGCTGGACAGTCTATCCAAGCTCTTTTAAATCCCCACTGAACCCCCCCCCCCCAATTATTTTATAGTGATAGAGTTCTCTTCATCCAGTGAGGATCCTTTAGTGAAAAATGGAGGGAGGTGATTCCTTTGGCTTGGTCCTGAAAGATTCTCATTCTGAACATTAGCTTCTACTGCTGACAATATTGCTTTTCAAGGTCCATTTATTAGCCAGAGAAATTTGGTGAGGGTTAGAGAAAAGGTCTCACAATTTTAACGAGATGCTCCTTGTACCATCAAAGCCAGACATAGCTTTCACATCCTGATACATTGGAGGACATCAGACTGCATGATTGTGATTTTAAACCCAGCGCTGCTTACCTTGAGGTTGATTAAGGCAACATGACATCAGAGGTAGCCAGCCATGCTATCTCTTAGACACACACACACACTCCAGTGACCATACAACAGAGACTTTCCCTAGAATCACATCTGCAAGATCTTCAAGCCACGCACCTTTCTTTTCCTTTTGGAGTTCAGGGCACAGCCACTTGCTTCTGTTGCTCTGCCTTTGCAGAACAGGAGCTCTGAATGGGAAGTCCTAATTTCTGAGCATGAAGGGATCTAGGGCTTAACACTGTTTGACACAAGATCCTCCTTTTCTTAGGTCATCACTGCAATTTGCAGGCCTACTATTCAATGCATTGTGTCACATATTTCACATTATTTCTGATTAGGCTACCATTTATCTGAAGTGACAAAGCATATTTGCATCAGTACATAACCTTGTTCAACACAAATGGCATTAGGGCTAGATCTAATGCTATATTTTCCAATGCGAGCATTGACATTTATGTGAAGGAGGGGGAGTGTTTCACTTCTAGTGTTTGACTTTTTAAATGTGCCATTTCAAAGGAACAGGACATTTTAAAATTGCAATCCTCGCCTCACCTCACCCCACCCCAGCCACTGGGGTTAATATCAGTATAGGAAAATGTTTGATGAAAGATGATCTACAGCTATCTATGCAACCCCCAAACTTGCATAGTTACATATCAACAGACATTAGTTTGTGTGTGTTTGTGCATCTGTGCAAATTTAGTTATTTTACTTCTGTGTCATCTGAGACACTTCATTTACGATAAAATATGCAGTGTCTAACTGAAAAGAGCAAACACTTTCTCCATTAATGAGCTGTTATGGACTAGCTCCCCAGGAAACTAATTAATACACCTCTTTGGATACATCTGGCTAACACCTGGCCACTTTTTGTGGAAATGCAATTCCTTGCAATGTGATTCACTCCTCCAATACCCCACATGGGACAAACTCCTTTGCTTATAATAAAATATAGGCTGCACTGAAAACTTGGGTCTGCCCACTTGTCCTACTTGGTTCACGTCACCCGAAGTTTGGCTAGTTCTAGCAGTTGCCAAAGGGGCACTCACTGAAGCTCAGAGGTCAGTCAGTGGGCCCACCAATGCTCAACACAGCATACATTCTTCAGGCAACTCCAAGGCTGCACACAATCCTCAACCTTCTTAAGCACCTGGTAGGATGAGATGAATGGGAGGAAAGAATGTCCTCCCAATGCATATATCCTCTCCTGCCTTCCTTAACATCTCCACAAAAACAATATCCAGCTCCTTCCTCCATGTTTTTGACCTTCCTGGCCCTTGGCTGACTCACTCCCTTCTTTACCCAACTTTCCCACCAAACCACTAGGTTTGTTACCCTGTTTTTCTTCATTTTCGCCTTGTTTCTAAATCCAATGCCTCCCAAGTCTAACTCTTGCCTTCTTGCTTCTTCCTGTTTTGATACCTTTCTTCTTAGCTCCACCCTCTAAAGTCTCCTTCTGACGACCTGTTTACTGAACATCCATCCTGATTTGCAAAAGGTTATGCGGAGGCTAGCTTCTATCTGGTCGTTATTGAATGTTTCTTCCTATTTGTTTGCGGAGCAGTTTCATGGCAGTAAGCATTCATCCTGATTTACATGCAGATCATTCATAGGCCTTTCCCATTACTTGTTCGTTCATGTATTTCCCATCACTTTTCTAAACACAAAAAGTCAATTTCTTAGATGGTTTGCTTAATCTTGCAATCTTACCTTACCTTCCCAGCTGCTAGTGTCCTCCAAGGGGGCCACACCAGCCTGGCTTAAGTGCAGTTCAAAGAGGGTGCGGTCCCTTTACCCAGTGAGACATTTCCCCAAGACTTCCAGGTGTTCCCAGTTGCTAGTGGTGGTCTTACTGTGGTGCTGCAGTAGTGCTGCTTCACTCAACTGAGAAACCCAAGACATGCGCACAGCTACCTGAGAAGCCACATCTGCAAAATGCAGGACAACTGGCAGAGTCTTGCCCTTCACAGGTCTTAACTAAGACTCAGATACTGTACTGCATAACCTTTGCACCCATCTGCAGACATTTGCTCAGGGAAGCACAGCTGCATCTTCAGAAGTAACATGAAAAGCAACCCTTGGGGGCTGGGGCTAGAGGAACTTGGGGCTTTGCTCTCAACCTCTGCAGAGCTCAGGAACATATGAAGGGGGGATTCCCATCCCGTTTTGTCATCCCCAACAAAGCAGCCCTGGGTTCTCTCTCATCTGCTCTGTGAGATTTTCTCCCTCTGAGCCAAATGATTTTGTTTGTTTGTCCTGTACTGGTTTGAAGGAGATCCTCCTTAGTGATGGGGCCAGGGGCCAGGACTAATTGGAGAGCTGGCATTTATGGGCTGCTGCCTATTACTAAAGACAGAACTAGATGCCATGGATTAGCCAGGTGCCCTGGAGACCCAGTTGCGCTGTGCTGTCTCCACCCCCTCCCTGCTTGGCTGTCATGCCAGTGTTACTGTAATGAGCAGGAGAAGAGAGAGCTGGACTGTTTCGGTGCTTCTCACCCTCCGCATCTCTGATGGGTACGGCTGAGCTGCAGCATCTCCTAGTACACAGTGGTATAATTAGTGCCAGGGGGCAGCCGAGGTGGTCTAGCCCCACTAATGAGTACAGCCTTAGGCCCTTTTCATTTCCTTCCAGAAGATTGGCTTGAATGGGCGACAGCAAGGAAGCAGAGCCTGCTGTATTTAAAATCAAACCACCGTGGAGGGTTTGTGGGCAGGTGCCCCTCACAAAGAAAGAAATACAGGGCTTGGAAGACACCAAAGGCCATCTAACCTAGCCTTTGCCAACCTGGTGCCCTGAATTGCAGCTCCCCTGGGGAGCAGATCTATTCCCGCACTCTACAATGAGGCAGAATTCTGCAAATGTTCCTAACAGGTCTATCCGTATGAGGATGGGCTTGAGGGCTGCCCTGCCTCTTGGCCATTCCTGGGAGGTGGGACTGCACATCAGCAGTGGGTGTGGCCAAGACAATGGCAGCAGATAGCCTGGGGTGTCCACTTGTAGCAGGACCAAATGCTTACGGTCAACTAGACAGGATGTCAAGTGCACCATTGGAAAGCATGCCAGGTTGATTTTTAAATTTAGTAATTTTGCTGGGGCCACACCACAGGTGGTGGTGAGGTTTAACCCTTTCCTCAGCTGTGATTTCCAAGAAGATCACCCTCTCCCTATACCTCTGTTAGCCTTGGCATGGAGATGGGGAGCTCTCACTGGCACCAGTGGGTCTTTGGGGAGGCTGTGCTATGCCTTTCCACCTACCAGCTTGAGGGAAAGCAGCCAAGGAGTTAGTCAACAATGACATCTGGAGAAAACAAGCCTCCTTCTCTTGTTGCAAAAAAAAGCTCCTTATTAACTCCAGGTGCATTTAGATATTGTTTTTCATAGTTCTTTAGCCTCTCTGGGTTTCTGTATATTTTTACTGTGCATTTCCTCTAAATGGCAGTCCTTCACCCTGTGGCCTCCACTTGGCCTTTTGCTTCTTTTAAACAGTATTATCTCATTTAGTGGCCCAGCATTTCATCTCGTTTTCTCTCTGGCTGTTGCATTCCTCCTTGGAGTGTATTTTAAGGAACACTTTCCTGTTACAGCTTCTGAGTTATTTCATTGGCAGTAAATTGACAAGCTTGCAAGCTTTCGCCTAATATCAGAGAACAATAGGACAACCTTTTGTGGTGCTGAAAGCAACATAGCCGGTGCACTAAATCAGTTCAAACAATATATTCTAATCTCAGCAAAGCTTTTACGGTAGTTACATAATTATACAGCAGTTATCCCATCACTGCAGGGGTCCTCATACAATGTTGTAATGAACCTCCCTAAGTCAAGAAGGAAATTGCTCTAACCTCTCTGAGGGTAACACAAACAGCAGAACGGCTGATTGCTTGTTTGCCAATGCTTACTCAGCTCAGGCTAAGAGAAAACAATGTCCAATGAAAAGGAGGGCAAGCCCAGGGTGTAATTTAAAGTCCTTATTCCCCGAGGGCATTGGAGAAACAAAAAATGCACAGAAAACATAGACTAGCCATATGGCAGAAGTCAGTGCCTTAATTAGCAGATAGGAATGGCTGGGCCTCAATCCTGTTAGCTAAGGAAGCTTTTACTTGCAGACAGAGCATGCTTTCCTTGGGTAGAAACTGTGCCCACCTTTTATTCTGCCTTTCCTTCTCCCTTGTGGTTGGATGGACTGATAGCTTACATCCTCCATGATGGCAGAAAGCTTACTCCAAAAGGCTAGAAGGTGAAGGTATGGAAACTGCCTGAGTCACTGTTAACCATTAACCACATGGACACACACACACACACACACACACACACGCACAAGTTGTCTCTGGATAATGCAGAATTAATGGACAACTTCATGGATGGTTGCTGTGTTCTCCTGCTTTTCTCCTTCCTTTTGTTTGCCACATGCTGGGAGCGGGCTTTTAAGTCCAACCTGGCTGCTGTAGCAGCAGCAGCAGCAGCAGGCAAGCATTCAAGCAGACTGCCAAGTGAGAGGGAAGGTATAACAACAGGGAGGAAATGGGTCTATGGGCCAAGTGGCAACTGTCCAGGAGCTGAACTGAGCTTGGGTGCTGCCAGTTGCCGACCTCAGCCATAAAGGCTTCCTGTTTGGTTAATTAATGAAACAAAGGAAAGCAAACACACACAAACACACAACACTGTGTATGCATATGTGTTGTTTGCAGCTTATTCTGAACAGCTGGAGACTCTTCACCAGTAAACCAGTTACTTCTGTAGCCTTCTCTGTTATTTATGTGCTGAAGCCTAGATAAACTGCATCCTCCTTATTTATATCCCTTTTTGGTGACAGTCCCATAATAATGTTGTAGATTCACAAAAAAAAATTCAAAATACCTGCTTGAAGCAACACCCTGGGTTATTCCCTGCCTCAGGTTATAGAAAGCGACTGTTGTGCATATGGAGTTTCAAGAACATGTGATGCTTTATATGATCTGATGTATGAAATGAATGTGCAAAACTGTGAAATGATGTCTCTGAAATGGAAAATCACTTAATAATTACATGTCTCACACCGTCAAGTTCACTCAGTGAACCCCAAAAAACATAAGGCAGGTGGAGATTAATAATACATATATATATAGGAGTTAAGAGGAAAGCCAGTGAATTGGTGCATAGAACTAGTATCTGACAAAGCTGTCAACTGTATAAAGAGAAGTTGCTTAAAGTGAGGTGGCTTGGGTAAAATGCTCAGAAACACGTTCCAGAGGGCACTCTGTGCAAGGTGACGTGAAAGAGGCCAAAATGTTTACAGCATGGTACAAAAGACGTGTATGATCTCAAATATGTATTGGGAGGGGCAGGAATTAAATAAAGCTATTTTTTATTAGGAGTTTCATTCAGAATCTGCCTGCTTCCAAGTATCAGATGCTGAGGGGGGGGGTGACAACAAGGGGGGGGGCTCTTTATGCTCCACCTGTGAGGTTTCTGAAGACATTTAGCTGACAGGATGCTGGACCAGATGGACCTTTGCTTTGATCTAGCAGGGCTTTTTCATGTGTTAAATTATTCTTCTGATTCTAGAGAAAGGAGGGGGATTTGGTTTATGTAAAGAGAGCCAACTGATGGACAGCCTTGCCTTATAGACCAGCTTTTGATGACATAGTGCCATCCAGATGTTTGGGATTACAGCTCCCATCAGCCCCAGGCAGCTGTAGTTGCAGCGGTGCAGTGACATGACAGAGCTACTGAGAGGGCTCTTGTGCTCGGATCCTGCTTGCAGTTTCCCCCACAGGCATCTGGTTGGCCACTGTGAAAACAGGATGCTGGACTAGAACCAGCAGGCTTTCCTTATGTTCTTTTGACGGGTTCCAGTTCTGCTAGTTGCCTGAATAAGTGTTAAATCAGAAGCAGAAGATGAACAAGAAAGAGGAGAGGAGAAAGAGGTGCAAAGGTGTGTATGGGATTTGTGTGGTCTTTGGGCAATTCCATGCTTAGACGGCCATTTTATGCTGGCGCCACAAATCCCCTGGGTTGTGATTTGGACTATCATGAGACTGAAACAGTCCCTGTCTATCAGGAGCTTGATTCAGCAAACATTAGTTACACTAAATATTCAGTCTAGAAAAACTGAACTTGCTCCCTAATACAATGCACCCCAAATTTCCAGAGCCCTGAACCTGTACCCCGAGAGACTTGCTCACATACAGTATGTAGCAATAATAATATAAAAAAGCATCACACTGCCCTACTGCAGACCCCATTTAATCCAGAACAGCAGCAATTGCTTCTGTCTGTGCTGAAGGACGAAAAAGGTGGCCTATACAAAGCCTCAGGCAAAGCAGAAGAACCAGTGCCCCAAAAGTCATTCCTGTCAGTTCTGGGTAATGAAAACAAGGTCTCTGGGATGCAGAAATTCACCAGGGATTTCAATGGATGGTTGGTGTTTGATGTATGAGGCGAGTTAAATTGGTATCAATAAATACTAACCCTGGAATGACGTTCTTTAATTATCAGCGCAGATTATACATCACTTCAAAGCAAACAAACAGCATGCATCGGGCCACAGAGGAGCCGTGTGCAAAATGCAAAGCAGAGGCTGGGCACAGCAGTGCCGCAGAGCAGCTAAGAATTGCAAAGTGCATGGTTAGGAGGGTGTGTATAATCTTCTTGCAGGGTATTGAGCAAAAAACCCCCACTTAAGTTCAGTCTCTAGATCCATGTGACTGAGATGTCCTTGACTTTGAATAATTATTTGGAAAAAGACCTAAGGGAGTCAAGGGCAGGGTTGTGGGGTAGCAGTTTCTGGCAAGGATCTGCCTTTCCCCTTCCCTTGTGGGGCCTGGCTTGGCTTGATTGCTTGAGCTACGTGGCTCCACCTGTCTTGCTGTGTGTTTCCTTCCCGCGCAAGCTGTGGCCGGAAAGCATGTATTGGTCTACCTTCTGAGCAAGGAGAAGAACTATACAGGTATTAGATGGATTTAAAAGGGGATTAAGCAAATTAACGGAGAACAAAGCCATAAATGATTAGGAGTTGCAATGGTTATATGCATCAGGGTCAGAGGCACCATGCCTCTAAATAACAGTTGCCAGGGAACGACAGCAGGAGGGGACTGTTGTGCCCATGTTGTTCTTATGGACTTGTCATAATGCATTTGGTGGACCATTGTGGAAAAGCAAGATGCTGGGCTGGATAGGCCTTTGTGACATCCTTCTCATGTTGCTCCTGGAGAACCAGCCAGGACAGAGCAGGTGGAACCTAAGAACATGCATTCTTGGGAAATAGTATCATCCATGTGGGAAGTCTTCAGAAACTGGGAATGATATATTCCTAGGGCAGCAGCAGGGTGAGAATCTAGGGGCAATGCAATCTAGGGTAGGCCTCCATGAAAGGTGGTGCACATTGGTGTATGGACAGAGGAAATGAAGTGCCAAAGGAGGTGTTTTTATACAATATGAAAAAATATGTGTCCCCCGGTCTGGTCGAGAGAAGCCGAGCGATGCGACACGTGTTCTCCGGACACACCAGAATGCAAACGGGGTGGGTGGAGGGGCAAGAGAGCCGGCGCAGAGCCCGCGAACGCCCCCTCGCGGCAAGTCTGCGACCCGCAGGCCCCTGCGCCTGTTTCACACGCGGCGCGAGCGTCCGCGCTCCAGCTCTCCTCCTGCTGCGGCGCCTCTTTCCTCGGAGGCGGAGCAGCAGCGCGCAGCGGGCGCCAAGGGCTTGTTGCCCGGACACCTCCCCTGCCGGCCGGGGGCGTGGGCGCCGCCTCCGCCCCTCCTCTCGCGGCCTTTGGTGGGTGTCACAGGCGCTGCGCTGTCCGCCATGGCTCCGCTGCGCTTCGCTGCCAACCTGGCGTGGCTCTTCCAGGAGAAGCCGACGCTGCCGCAGCGCATAGAGGCGGCTGCGCAGGCCGGCTTCCGAGCGGCGGAGTTGGGCGCCCCTTACGCTTGCAGCGCCGAGGAGCTGCGGGAGGCGGCAGACAAGGCCAGGCTGGAGCTGGTCCTGCTCAACGCCCCGCCAGGTACCCGACCGAGTTGCCCGTGGCTAGCAGACATAATACGGTCTCCCCACCCGGACCCAGCCTTCTCCCATGACCTCCATAGGCACTACTACAACGGGGTCGGCTTTTCACGGAAAGGGTGAAAAGGCAAGCAGGCAGAAGTCAGCAGGTAGAGCTTAATAGTCTCTGCGGCATTCTGGAAACACTAAATCTCTTTTCTGCCTGCTGCTGTACAGCTTTTACCTTTTTTTAAAAAAAACCCAAAGTTGTAGACCTCACCTGTTACCAGTTGAAACTTGCTACCGGTTCCTGCAGGTGCAAAGTCCATCACCTCTTTTCCTCTTTCTCTGTATCAACCTTGGCACCCAAGATAGTGACCAACACCTCCTTCTCACTTCACTGTACACTGGATGTCTCTTTCACAGGCTTGCCCCCCAAGCCCTGCTGCCTCCTAGAATGGCCTTTTCCCTTACACTCAAAACAGTGGCTGTTTCAATGGAAGATATTCCTAGTAGAGGTTATAGACTGCCCTTCTGCTTGCCAAAGACCAAGCAAATAAAGCTGTTTGTTCTGTACCTCTCACCTCTTCCTGACCCCAAACATAGGAGCACTTAGTTGACATATAGGACAGCAGGTATCATTTATGGTAGACATCTATTTCCTACTATTGTCCCCTGCAACTGGTGTGTGTGTGTGTGTATACAGCGGTACCTCGGGTTAAGAACTTAATTCATTCTGGAGGTCTGTTCTTAACCTGAAGCACCACTTTAGCTAATGGGGCCTCCTGCTGCTGCTGCGCCGCCGCTGCACGATTTTTGTTCTCATACTGAAGCAAAGTTCTTAACCCGAGGTACTATTTCTGGGTTAGCGAAGTCTGTAACCTGAAGCGTATGTAACCCAAGGTACCAATATATATATATATATATATATATATATATATATATATATACTGGGTAAATTTTACTGCTCTTTCCCCAGGAAACCAAGATGGTGACAGAGGCTTAGGGGCAGTGCCTGGCCGCCAGCATGAATTCCAGGAGGCCCTGGCTTTGGCTGTGAAGTACTGCAAGGTCCTGAAATGTCCAAGGTAGTATTTTAAGTAGTTAAGATATATGTATATTGAACACCAGTGTCATCCTTGTGCCATAATACAGGAATGATCAGAATTGCTGTAGTGGTTGTTGTAATTGAGTTATACGTCTCCTCACTATTGCACTTTGAAAGTGAAGTGGTATAATTTAAGTGCCTTTTTCATCACAGACCCATGCAAAAGCAGGCCCTCAAACCTGGAAAGAAAGCAAAGGGCAAGTTATGTGTTTGCCTGTTTTTTTACTTATTTGTCAGCATACCTGCTAGCCATGCTAGAAAGAATCAATTGCTATCCTTTATTGAAATGAAGCATCTTTCCTCATCTTCCCCCTGCCCCCACTCCACTTTGGGGTCTTCTTTGCTAAAGGTGGGAAATGTGCTAAGGAAGCAGGCACAGGATCTAGCCCCTTTCCATAGCTCCGTGTCCATAGTTCCATAGTCTTTTTCTTGCCTTATGCAAGGAAACCATAAATCTTGTAAGAGGCACGAGTTAATGCAGGATTGTTCCACAAAAAGACATCTGATTTACCATAGCTACTGCCCCTGCTGCTGCTGCAAATCTTCCCTTGCTCAGGGTAGTGTCTTCTTGCGTTAAAATATGCAGCATGCAGCCTTTATTAGGACAGTCTTGTAGTACATAAATATTTTAAAAAGGAGAAGGGCAATTAAAGGCCAAATATGAGCAAAAGGGAAGAGAGTCTTATAGGAAGATAATTTTTGCACAGTCATGTAATATTTCAAGGGAGGGGCTGGTTTTAAGGAGGATTGAAGCAGGGTGGTGTGATGGACAGAAAGTGGAAATTTGACTCCAAATATAGGGAGGAGGAACAAAACCTAAAGAACAACAAAAGCACACAGTTAGCAGCAAGGTGGAATAAGGGGATGCAAGGGAGGAGAGAGGTCAAGTGTTGTTGGTGATAACAGTGGAGATCAAGATCCTTCTATTAGTGAATACGCACATTCTCTCCCATTTAGGGCATCCCCAGCCCTGGCGCTGAGATTGGCACCTTTGGTAAAACTAGCTACTTTCCTGCCCGGAGTGGTTTTGTTTTAAAACCTTGCTTATTCATTCACTAGTTAAAAGACAAGTGTAATAAGAACGCCTTTTCCATTTTAAAGGCTTTTATTTTCTGAACACAGTGGCATCTTTAGACATGACGCAGCCGGTCTATCACTCTCAAGGCAAACCCATTGGGGGAGGAGCCATAGCTCAGTGATAAGAGCAAATGCATATTCTTGCATTGCAAGGGGTTGGACTAGATGATCCTCAGGGTCTCTTCCAACACTACAATTCTGTGCTTTGCATGCAGAAGGTCTAATGTTCCATCCCGGGCATCTACAGGTAGTGCTGAGAGACACCCGCCTGAAACCCTGGAGAGCCACTGCAAATCACTGTAGATCAGCCTTTCTCAGCCTTGGGTCCCTAGAACTTGTTGTGCTACAACTCCTATCATTCCTAGCCAGCAATGGCCAGTGGTCAAGGACAATGGGAGTTGTAGTTTAATAACTTCTGGGGACCCAAGGTTGGGGAAGGCTGGTGTAGACAATGCTAAGCTAGACAGACCAGTAACCTAACAATATAAAGTAATTTCCCATGTTCATCTCAAGTGGACATGAACTTCTGGATGGGATGTTTAGCAGTGTAGTTAACAGAGATTCAAATGAGTAACCACATCAAAGGGATGAACCAACCCAGGCAGCCCCACTTAGGGGCATTACTGAGCATGGAAGTGTTGCTTGCAGTCTCTGCTGTCCAACAGAATGAGACGCCTCACCTCTGAGTGCGGAGGGAGAGAAAACATAGGCAGTAAGACGCAGGCTAGTAATGAATGACAGATGTTGGGACATTTCCAAAAGCTCACCGGCAATACCAATTTTGCATGGCGCTTTGCGTTACACGAAGAAAGCAGAACAAAGTGGTGCAGCTGGCTATTTTGTGTAAGACCATGCCCTTTTAACTTGGAAAATTAACACCAGTCTGTTTTTGCAATCATACTCGGCAACACTGTGTGGCATTTTGCTAAACTGTGAAACAGACACACTGAAACCAAGCAGACATAAATTAGTCATAACTAATGCAAGTTCATAACTAATGCAAGTTCAATTATTTTAGTGGGTTCACTCCAAGTATGATTTTAGTACGTAAAGGTAAAGGTAAAGGGACCCCTGACCATTAGGTCCAGTCGTGGCCGACTCTGGGGTTGCGGCGCTCATCTTGCTTTATTGGTACAGCTTCCGGGTCATGTGGCCAGAATGACTAAGCCACTGACTACGCATGACTACTAACTATTTTAGATACCACCAATTAGTTAGAAATCCCATTCATCCTCAAGCAACACATGCATGGAAATGGTGAAAGCACATCATCATTCCTACCCAACTGATTGTGTGTGTGTCCAGCATGGTGATCAAATACTACTAAGGTTCTGTCAGTCTGCCTATAGTGATTTTGCATATCTGGCCTGTGGGTGCTGTTTGTGAGCTCATAATCTATGCCAAGCTAGGTGAGCTCATGGTAAATAAGAGAGTATAGTTTGTATGATTTTGATACAGACATTCTTGTCATTCCTATTGCATGTCGCAGGTGTTAGCTTATCCCAGCTGAAACCCTGGTGTAGCGATGTGTGTTGATTGTTGAGTGCTGGAGGTGGCTTCGTGGGTCAGTGCATCTCCTCAGGGGGAAATTAAAGCGGGCATGAGACAGCTTTCACTTCAGTAGCATCATATCAGCATCGTGGATGCCTCGAGGGCAGAAAGCCGTCAGCACCGCTGCTTCTGTCCCTCTTCCATCCTGATCCAGCCTTTTGCTTACAGGATCCACATTATGGCTGGGCGAATTCCTTTGGGTGCTGAGAGGGAGGAAGTGTCAGCAGAGATGGAAGCCACCTTCATTGAGAACCTCAGATATGCTGCGGACATCCTGGCTCAGGTAGGAGCTGGGTAGATAGATGCCTGTTAAGCAGCAACTTGCACTGCTTCGTCAGAAGGGTGAGGTGCCTATTCAACAGTGATTCCATTTGGGCGTGAGACAAATGCTCCAGAGAACCCAAGAGGCAAAGTGTTAGCAAGACCTGCTTAAAGAAGCTCCACCCCAGTTATTAGTCAGGCCTGGCAGGAGGGCACACAGGAGTGGTTGGGCACTGGTGGCAGTGGTTAAGAAACTGGCCAGTGACAAGAAATAATATAAAAGAGATGAGCTGCCCAGCAGCAATTTTCCTTTGCTTGCTAGCCTAAGGCACTGAGTGGATATTCTTCCATTTCCTTGCTCTGGTATTACAGGAAAAGATCACTGGATTATTGGAGCCTATTAATAGCCGGATTACTGATCCCCGTTACTTCTTGACTACTCCAGAGCAAGGTAGGCCATGGCCTAAGACTCCTCCCTTCTCCACGGATAGGGAATTGGCCTTCTAAAGGAGTGTTTCCCAAACTTGAGTCTCCAGCTGTTTTAGGACTACAACTCTCATCATCCCTAGCTAGCAGGTCAGGGACGATGGGAACTGCAGTTCAAAAGCAGCAAGAGCCCCAAGTTTTGGATACACAATTCTAAAGCAAGGGTGGGAAACCTGTGACTCCCCTAGATGTTGCTGAACTACAGCTCTTCATCCCTCACCGCTGGCCACCGCTCCTATTCAATAGGAGATTGAATACAGCAACATCACAGGTTCTCCACTCATGTTCTAGAAGTTGCTGGAGAATGGGCTTTGGGACTGCACGATGACAGGAAATGGAACAAATTGCTCCCCCCCCCGCCCCCAGAATCAGTTGTGATATTGTGAATCTCCATTTTTCTTCAGCTGCTGCCATTTTGAAGAAGGTGGGAAGCCCCAGCCTGAAGCTGCAGCTGGTGAGTGTCACTGAGGAAAACCTGGATTCAGCCATAGAAGTGGGTGTTGGGCTTAGAGGACCTATTACATTGGTTGGTGCATCAAGAGGCCCACCAGAGGGATGAGAGAGGCTGAACACCCCCAACCTAGTGCCCTCCAGATCCCACCACCCTTTGGCCATTTTGGCTGGGGCTGATGGGAGGCGTAGTCCAGCCTCTTGGAAGGCAGCTAGACTGAGCCTTTTTATGTTTACTCCACAGGACATTTTCCACTGCCAGATCATGGATGGTAACCTGACTCAGAACTTGGAAAAGTATTTCCCAATTATTGGTAAGACAGGAAAGGTGCAGTGGTTCCCTAGTATGGCTTCAAAACTTTCCTTGCAGGGGTTGTTCCTAAGCAAAGGGGCAGATGCTTCTGTAGTGTCAAAATAGTTCCAGTCAGACCCCTATGCCTAGTCCTTCATTGGTCCCTGATGGTTACCTTCTTTCTCTGCAGGACACGTTCAGTTTGCCCAGGTACCAGGACGGCATGAGCCCGACAGCCCTGGTGAATTAAACTTCCCTTACCTCTTCCAGCTGCTGGAGTCAATGAGTTACAGTGGCTTCGTAGGATGCGAGTACAAGCCCAAAGGCAAGTCTGCTTAAATTATCCCAAGGGAATGGGGAGAGATTTTGCTGTGTGAAATGAAGCGTTGTAGCTGGGAAATTTGTTAGGCTGCTGATGTAGCCCACTGTTTCTCTGCTTCACAACTGCCACAACTGTGGGCGGGGTGGTGGTGCTGAAGAAGTGCAAACTTGGGTGTTGCTGATGCTTTTGGCTCCCCTTACAGAAGGCACACTGAAGGGGCTGGGCTGGCTGCACTCATACTGGAAGAGTCATGGTGTACTGGATAGTGGAAGCTGAGGGGTTAAGTTCAGCAGCTGAAAAACTGGACTAAAGAGCATCAGAGGTGGAGCGCAATCACTACATGCCAACTTGGAAAGGCAATGTTCTTTTGTTTGTCTCTCTTCTGGATGCATTTTGCCTCCTAATAAAACAAAATAGCATTCCTAGGGTCTTGCTCCAACTCAAGTCCTGGAATGGCTAAAGGCTTCACTCTTGTGTCAGTTTGTGTTCCTGAACAAATTACATTCCTGCCCGGTCTTTCAAGTAAGAAATATATCCTTTTTTTTTAATTACTCATTGCAGTTATAAGGGTTGACCCACTAAAAAGGAAGTTCACCTTCCTGGAATCACACTAAGCAATGATGCTGGCATGCCTTTCACAAGAATGGGGACTAGTGTGGTGCAAAGGAAGGGAAGTCCCTGCCTCTTCAGATCTAGCTCTTTAGTACCACTTAGTGGCCCCGGATGAGATTTCCTAGATTTAAAGGGGCATCTTAGCCTCTAGGTTCTATCTGCATGCTGCCGCTTAAATTACTTGCATTCCAGATCTTACACTGCAGCGTATAACCATAGGGAGACACGAGTGGCACAATTCAATCTGAGCCAGAACCAACTTCCTTAGAAAAGAAACTGGCACCATCATGCAAGCCTGGAGTAAGACCTTGGCACTGGTCCCTGCAGTGCATCCTGGCAGACACGCCATTCTGGCAGGCTGGTGGGAACCTACTTCGCTTCGCGCCAGGGATAAACTCAGCAGCTTGTAGGGGAAAAGCTATGACAAAAGATTTTTATTGTTATAATTAATGATCCATTTTATTTAATTTACTGTACATTCACTTCATATATATATATAAATTCCCATCATTGTGCAGTTCCCTCTTGCTAAAACCCATCCAGTGAGTCACTCTTAAAAGCACCAGGCCACGTCAGCAGCTCCACTTGCCTTTGAGCCCTGGCGCCAAAGTGCCCAAGGGAAGGTGGCACATCCGTCCATATATGCCTCATCCTGCAGTTTTTTAGGGAAGGTGCTTACTGCCCCCCCCCTAAGGCTGTGCTCTGGTCTCCAGAGCGGTCCCCCTCCTTGATTCTGTTCATCTCATCAAAATGTCCTAACGAAGCTCTTACCCAGCCAGCTGTAGCCTCACACCACCCACTACGGTCCCCCATGTGTGCTTCTGCCACTTGCGGTGCTCTCTTCGCCCCAGCTGGGCCTGTGCAGCGTGCCCCAGGTGGAAGGAGCCAACCAACACTAGAGCAGCCCTGTCCAGAGATTGAAGCAAGCTGTGTTTATGACCGATTCCAGGTGGTGGTACGTGGACACCAGCTGCGGCAAGGGGCTCTCGCTGTTCTGGGGCTGGACTGGGAATGGTTCTCGAAACACCACGGTCAGGCTCTGCAAAGAAAGACAGCTGGGTTAACTAATGGCACTAGCAAGGTATCTAGCCATCTGCCCATGGTTAAGCAACAAAGCTCCCCGATAGCCTTTCCTTAGGCCAAAGACTCCTCTTGGGAAGGCTGTTCAGATAGGATAACTTCAGGACATTTGAGTTAGCAGAGCTAGACGTTCAAAGCCAAAACAGCAGCCCCAGGGCTCAGAAGTTTTATGTCATCAGTACTGAGTAACCCCGAAGCCCCACTCCTTGCCCCCGCCCCCCTTGAACTGCTGAGCTGTGAAGAAGAAAGGGTCTTACCGTTTTTCCTGAATGGGAATCAAGGAATACGAGCACAAAACAGTCTGTGAATTTCTGGTTCAGCACAACCTGCAGAGTTGGGGGCAAGAGGGCTGCATCAAGAAAGAATCATCCGCCACATTAAAGGAAGCAAGGCAATAATTGCATTGTTCCCACTGGGAGGGTCAGAACCTTTTTCTGGGGGGTAGGGCAGATGGGTAGGAAAAAACCAGTGGGCAAGGGGAACAGAAGTCCATAAAGCCTCTTGATCCCACCCACCCACCTCCAAATCCTGGACTGAAACAGCCTTCCAGTAACTAGAGGGCAGCTTCTAATAAGGAAAGAAACCTGAAGGACTGCTTTTCAGAATTTCTTTCCATTGTCGAGCCAAGGGGAGCTGGAACTGATGAGTGAGTATGCCAAACCTGACCAAGCAAAATGATCAAAGTTCACTCTTGATTTAACTTAGGGGAAAGCTGGTTAGCAGGGAGAGGCCCACAGCTGGAGAAAATCATGCTGGAAGGGACTTACTAGGTACTGAGTGCCAGCATCTGCGTTCTGGAAATGGCGGCAGCTCTGGGGGAAACGGCTCAGCAGCACCTTGATAAGACTCTGGTACCAGGAGACTGTCATGGTGAGGAAGCAACTCTGCCACAAAGAGGGAGAAAAATGAACGTAAGCCACCGGATGTCCACTGAGAGAATAGATTGCTAGATTAGATGGGGTCTGGTCTGGTCCAGCAGGGCTCTTGCGTTCTTTAGCGTCCCATAGCTTGGACCATGCTGGGGTCCCTTGAGTGTTTTCTGCCCGCCACAGTATGTCACAAGTGTGCGTACACCCATACAACACGCACCCCCACTGACACAACCAGCTCAACTCACCAGCTGAGGATCAATGTCAGCAATCGATTTCCTGTGCACGGCGTCCAGCAGCTCCTCCAACTCGCCAAGGGAGAGCTTGCCCAGCTTGAGCTTGTCGGAGGCCAGCGGCTCGAGCAGGAAGAGCCTCTTCCAGAGGTTGTCTCGGCGGCAGTGGCACTTGGCAAGCTGCACCATGCTGCTGAGCTGCTTCTGGGCAGCAGCCACCTCGGAGGCAAGAAGTGGGAAGAGCGGGGATGTGTAGAAGAGCCCGGGGCCCACCTTGACCTGGGGACCTCCTGCATAGAACTCCCCACTGTCCTCCACCTCCTCCCAGGGCTCTGGCACTTCCTTCCGCTGCCAGCCCCCCTCTGCCGTCTCCCAGGCGGCACGTCCCAGAACTGGCTCCAGCGTGTCCCGTTGCAGGCGTGGCAGCTTTTTGAAACGGCGCATGTCGGCCGTTAGTCGTGGAAACAGCTCCCGTTGGCTTGTCATGATCACGTAGAAGTGCAACCTGGGAGGAAGGGAACAGTTGCCATTGCAGCTCATTGCCTGTCTCGCTCACCAACAGCCCCACAGTGTGGCCTCTTGCAGATAGACAGTAATTGTACTGCTCTCCACATGTCCATTAAGTACTTGGTCAACCCGTGGCCTAGACTGGTTCCCTGCAGCCCAAACTTAAGGCCCTTAAGGTCCACAAATGACAACATTTTGGAGGTCCCAGGTCGCAAGGTGGTTAGATTGGTCTCAACTAGGGCCAGGGCCTATTCAGTACTGGCCCCGACTTGGTGGAATGCTCTGTCACAAGGGACTAGGGCCCTGCGGGACTTGACATCTTTCTGCAGGGCCTGCAAGACAGAGCTGTTCCACCTGGCCTTGGTTTGGACTCAGTCTGACCCTTATGTTTCCCTCCCCTTATGGTCTTGATTTATTGGCTACTTTTAAAATGAGGCTGCATTTTAAATTGCATTTTAACCTGTGTTTTAAATTGGTTACCCGCCCCCTATTATGTTTTCACTGTGATTTTATTGGTGTTAGCTGTCCTGAGCCCGGCTCTGGCTGGGGAGGGCAGGGTATAAATAAAAATTTATTATTATTATTATTATTATTATTATTATTATTATTATTAATCACCCAGCTGCCAATAAGCTGCTCAATTCTTTTTTAGCACACTGCATGTCTGAACAGTCAAGGCTGTTCGACCTTGTAATTGCTCAGACAAGTGGCTTTCCCCCTGACTGCAATTTCCCAGTTCATCTCTTACCTTAGCATATGTCGCTCTGACTCACTTTGCTCCTCAAAGGGAGCAGCATTGTGGAACACAAGCATGGAGACATCGAAGTCGTCGTGGTGACGCAACCCCTCCGAATCCTTGTAGGAGCCAGAGCTGTAAGGGAAGAATGCAAGGGGTTCTCTACATGGTCAAGAAAGCAGCTGCAGTCCTTTTGGGCCACAGTGTGGACTGCATTGCAGCGGGTAGTTCAATTGAACCAAAAATAGACCCTATTGTTTCCTACAAGTGAGGGGGGTGGGGGTGTAGAACAGCAGTGTTACACCCGTGACTTGACTCACCACTGTAGAATGATGTGAGTGAGAGTTGGACATACGTGTCAGCTTTTGGGTTCATAGCCCCATTGCCATGTTGTACAGTTTAGGCAAAAATAAAATCAAAGCAATTTAGGAGAGAAAAATCAGTGGCTAGGAATACATCAGAGAGTTTGGAGTTGTAGGATACATTACACATCAGAAAGCCAACAGACGAACCTGATACAAGGGCCATTCTGTGTCAAGTTTCTCAGTCCAGGAATATATGCCCCAGAACAGACATCTGCACCTTATACTACCATCCAAGCAGCATAACAAACTTTGTATTTGTGTCTTATTTTATTATAATCATGTCTGTTTTGTAATCAGATATTGGTAACTGTAGCAGCCTGGTAATGCAGAAAGCTAGTGTTTGAAGCCTCCCCAGTGCTAGAAAAGGTTTGTACACACAAGTATTTTGTCAAAAATGCCCCACATTTGACATTTCCTCCATCTCTGAATGCTCAAGTCTTTTAATGGGACTGCTGTGTCTAGTTTCAGAGCAACTGGCATAAAACACCAGCATGTCACAGCTAAGCTGGTAAGAAGGTTGTTCTATCCTGAAAAGCAAATCTAGGAAATCCATGGGCATCCCGTATCAAGGACTAGGCAGCTGGGAAAAGTTGTGGGACCTTGTCCCACCTGTGTGAGATCAAAAAGCTAATGCCACCTGGAAGAGACTGTTTGGTGTTTCAATCAAGAACCTAATACGCAGGTAGGCAAAAGCTAGGCTTACTTGTGCCATACCTGGAGCCAGTGTGGCTGTGTTGTATTCCAAAAGAAGTTGACAAAATTGGATTTCTTTTGAAGAGGATAAAGCACCCTGTGGGAATGGGATTCTGGTGGCAGCTGTTAAAAAATGTGGCACCAAAGAGACAAGAGTCGGTTCAATCCAAGGAAGGAAAACAATAGTCGGTAATCTGAATGCCAAGTTGCTCACATGAGGTTTCTCAAAAAGAATCAGAAATTCTATGTTAGCAAAACACAAACACGGTCTCTAGAGGCAAACGTTTTATCCGTATCCTCTCCTCAACTGTCAGCAGCAGTAAAAATTGGTTGGCGGGATTGTCCTTGGTTGCTTTTGACTGATTGAGAATCA